TCGAGGGCGGCTGTCTAAGAACGTAAGCGTTGTTTTTGTGACAGTACGAGTGTGTGTGTTTTCGTGTGTGTTTTTGAGCTTTCAGAGTGTGTGAGTTGGAAAGAAGCCAGCCACTGACGCCCCGGCTGCACAGTTGAGTCTCCTCTTCCAATTAGAACTCAACCCAGAAACGGGACTTGTACATTTCCCACTGGAGTAGATCTATTGTCCCGAGAGCACAAAGCTGCGACTATTGTGGCGGTCATGAATTTATGAATGGGCACAAAAGATGGCATCCACTGAAAAAAAAGAAAGTGTCTCATTATGTTGTGGAATGTCTTTTTTGCGTTAGAAACAATGAAACCTGCAAAATTAGAACTGAACTTCCATCGTGGCCAACACGCTACACGGCTGAACCGACGCACCCAAAAAATACTCATCTTGTGGGATTGGCAGTACCAGGAAAATGATGCGCACTCACACTAGGCAATCTGTACTGTGCCCAAGAACGCTTCCCCCCCAAAGTCCAGTTTGTTTGACTAGTATGAGTGCTCCCATCCGTGCTTAAGAACAGTGCACTTCCTCGGCCCTGGCACGGTTGGAAGAGGTGTGCTTCCCCTCGCACTTCAGCACTGCAATTCTGTGTGAACTCACAAACTGGGACCTCAATTACTAATGTGTAAGAACAAAGGCGTACTTCTTAATAGTGTAGTTACAGAGCTGTAAATGGTTAACTCCAACACTGTAATGGCAATGCTACTTTCCCAACTCCAACTTTATCCAGACTTCCTCCGTCCAGTTCCCCAAGTGGGTATGGGTGACCGCGTTTAGATGAGCGACTGATATAATCTTTGTGCATGTAATCGTACTATTTCTGTTTGCCAGTATGTTCTCACCATTCACTAGTGAGTTGCAAATACACCCGCTTACAAAAGCATTGATAACAATCAATAGCGTCAGACTCAGTCCTCTGTCTTTCCACTGCGTATTCCTTGGGCAGTGAAAACTTCTCGCCGTGCGGGTCATGTGTGAATAAGCAACTCAAGAAGATTTCAGGGCCCAGCCTGTCTCAGATTTTCCTGACATTTTCAGGAGTGCGCATGTGGAAACATCTTCAAACACTCATGTGTCTTTATGTGGCCTTCTTGGACTACATCTCACTTTCAAAACAGCCTTAACATGCACAGCACTTTATTTTATTATTATTTTTATTAAGCCAGAATAAACACCAAGTCCAAGAAGTCCCCCATGAGTCCACTTCTGTTATCCTTTTATTCCGTGTCTGTCCTGCACAGACCTGTCATACTGCAAAGACGGAAATCCAGGAGGTTAATCTGGCTGTAAATCTTAATCTCTCTGTTCTTTCCTCCATGCATCCTCCTCGCCATCCGCACAGGATCATCCAGACCCCCCCCCCCCCCCCAAACACAAACACACACACACCCCGACCTCATCCTCGTCCTGTCTGCTGTGCTTACAGGGTCACTGAGTTTGCCCTCATGTTACAGGCAGAGAGGGGTCGAGGGGCGTGGCTTGTGGACCACTGTCTTTGATCACTGTGGGGGTTACAGCCCCCTTTTATTCCACCTGATCAACACTGTACTGACCCTGCGCTCCCCCCTCCCCCCCCCTCACCCCCAGCAGAGACACAAATGCATCGGGGGGCTCAGGGGAAGGTCTGCAGAGGTTCTGTCTGTTATCATTTCGTCTCGTCTGTATTTTAAATGATTTGAAAGGTAAACATTCCCACCTCGTTCAATATCTCTGCAAACAGCCTTATCTCTTTATTTTTTTTTTTCAGAATATCTTTATTAATTTCATACTTTCCATCACAGGGTCTTACTTCCAATCTTTTACCAACCAAAATTATAACGTACAATTTCACTTAGTTTACACTATTCATGAGTGAAATCAGGATCACATGAGACATTCATACATTTACATCCCAAGACACAACACACAATGACAAAAAAATAAAAAAATAAAGTCATGTACATTCATATCTCATTCATTCAGCCAAAAAAAAACCTCATTCATCACAAACCACCCCCCACCCTCGTCCTTGTCCTGTATTCTCCCCCGACTCCCCACTTCCCCCGCCAGCCATGTCACAGATAGTTCCGTAATTTCATTTCTACATTCATAAACTTCCATACGACATTGAGTTGTTTAACCTTGTTTTTACCTCAAATAACGCCTTTTCTACAGTCAAATAATATCTCATTAATTCTTTCCAAGTCTGAAGGGCTGGATGGATGGATCCAGTGTTTTAAAATCAACTTTTTATAGATAAGGGGAAAGAACACAATCTGCCATCCCAAAGGATATTGGTTTTTTTTTCAGCATGTTTGGAGGAAGAAAAAAAAAATTTGGCCGAAGATTTGATTTCTGTTTTGACATATAACAGACCTCCATTGTTGAATTTCGTTCCTCACTTTGTTCACTTCAGTACAAAACCAAAACGAGTGCATGAGGGAGTCAGGAGATCTGCAAACTGCCCAATCTTGTTTAGTTGTTTCTACAGTTACTTAGACTTAGACTTAGACTTAGACTTTCTTTATTGTCATTCAAACTTGTACTTTACAGTGCAGATAAGAACAAAATTTTGTTGCATTTGGCCCGTTGTAGTGCAGGATAAAAACAGCAGCATGTATTTACATATAAAAAATAATACTTACAACATATCAAGCTCGTCTTCCATTGTGAGAAAATGTAGCAACAAATTACATCATTAGACCGCAGAGAAAACAAATTGAACCAGATTGCAGGGTGTAATAATCAGATAGAACTCCTCATCATCAGCAGTCATTAATCTACAGGCAGAATTATCAAGGTGTTTTAATACCTGCATCAATGCTGCCATCTGCTGGTACTCTTGTAGTGTTGCCTTCATGCTTCAATGATACCAAAGCTATACGCACTAGAAGAGGGCTTCTCAAACTTTTCACCATATGCAGAGGTGCTGCTTGTCAACAGGCAAGTTATAGGCAACTGCATGGGGCCCCAGGCCAATAGGGGGCCCAATGACAGTAGGATACCTCTCTAAGGTGGTCCCATATGACACCACTCCCTTACTCTCCATGCCCAAAATGAAGAAGAATTACTGTTTCTGTGTGTGAGTGCAAAAAGAAAGAGGAAGATGAGTAAGAATCGGGACACTGGCAGACATCATGTTGATGAACGCTGGTTGGAGGGGCCCCTAATGAAAATTAGCTTAGGGCCCCAACAGACTCTAATAAATTCATAAGTGTTGGGAACTTTGTGTGCATGACACGTAAATAAAATACAATAAATCAGTCAAATTCTTATGTTAAACTATGAAGGTTTTAATTTTAAAAAAAGATCTGAGAGCTTGTTGCTTGGAAAATATGCCATGCAGATTGTTGAAATGCATGACTGCAAGTAGTGAGCTCATGGTGCTGTGGAGATCTCTGCTGCCCCCCTCTGGTGAAAAGTAGAAAATGGCAACACTGCATGACTTTCTGTCTGTTTCTTGAAGGTTTTTAATTTGACTGATGAACTCCCTGTTTTTATCCTCATTACAGATTAACAGACATTTAAACATTATTAAACATAATTTTTTAGTATGCAATCTCAGTCTCAGAGCTCCCCAAAACATGTGTGTGAAGTTTCTTGTTCTAAATCCACTCTGATCCTGTATTTGATCATGTCTATAAACCCCTCTATTTCAGCCCTGCTCAGAACAGGCTGTTTCTGTGTCTGTACCTTTAAATATGTAAATGAGCTGTGTCTGATCACGCCCCCTCTCTGGAAGGGCTCTGGTGACTCAGGCTTTCTCGCTCCATGCCCTATTGTTTACATTGAGAAGGCAGACTCAGAGGGCAGAACAAACACCTAGCTGTGGGAGTGTCACCCACCTGGGGGAGGGGCTACTGCCCTTTGTGATGTCATGAAGGGAAAATCTCCAAACGGCCTGTTTGAGCACACATTTTCTGAAAAGTGGAGCAGGCAAAAGATGGAGAGGATGGACTTTTCTCATCATTGGGGGGTTTGTAGACGGACCAGAGACTCATATTAGTGTTTGAGAAATATGGTGATGTATTTGTTTTTAAGATGTTTTAAATGGAAACGTATTCTACATCAATCAGTGTTTTTGTCAGAGGAAGTATCGACTAGGGAGAACGCGGTTCTAGGAACTAGAGTAGTTCATAGTTTCTGGTGTGGATTCAGTAAAAAGAGGGAGGGTTCCAACAGTTTCTAGAATTATGAAAAAGTTCCTGAGGTCTGAAAACACCTTTAATGACCCTGCAGATGTGTTTTTAATAATGAAATGATCACATGTTAAGACACACATTTCTTCTCCTTTCAGTTTATTAAGCAGTAAGCTCTCCAAACATTTATCCTAAAGCTTGCCAGAGTGACAAAGAGTAAATCCACATGTTTGATGTCATTAATATTGATACAGAAGATCAGGAGATTGGTGTAACAGATTTGACATTACAGAGTTCTTCAGTGTCTCACAAATGTGCAAAAACAATTAAAAAACCTCAATCACATCTAAAAGATATCATCAATACTTTCTGTTCAATGATAAAGGAAGAATGTGTGACTTTATGATCCAGTAGATGTCGCCCTAAAGCACCAGCATGAAACCAAAACAAACTGCTGTTTGGCCACACCTCCTCCATCCTGAAGCCATCACTGTCCTCCAGAGACACACCTCCAACCCAACTCCATATACATTAACAGGAAGGAGTTAGGAGTTAAGCGTAAGCAGCGGACAAAATCGTCTTTGGCCAGAGCTGCAATTGCCTGTGGTCTGCATTGTTGTGTTAGCATGCTACTGTTAGCACAGTTAAGTTAGCTTGTAGCTTCAAATTGTATATAAATTGATACAGATAACAATCTAAAAATGCTTATGTGATATCAAAATAATCAGTGAGTATGTTCTTCTTCTTCTCTCTAGTTCTTGACTAAAACAGCTTTTATACACAAGGGGAGGAGCCGGCCGTCCCGTCCATGTAAACACGGCTCTGACAACAACACAGCCAGCGGGACTCGAGCTTCTCCCTCATTGTAGACAGTCATGACTCAGAGAGACATTTACACAGGATAGACTTGGTTTAAGATATATTCAGGTGTAACATGTCGCACATTGTTCCTTTAGTCTCGCTGGGCAGGTAAATGTCGCTCATCATCGACGTGAATGTAAATAAGATATTTTTCAAAGAAACAGACCATCAGATCAACAACAGAAACGTATAGCTGCCTCCATATTTTCCAGGATTTAAACGTTAACAAACATGTATATTTCACTTCTTAAATTGAACACATTGAGCTGCACACAAGAAGTATTATTACAAAACTCAGACTAACTGTGTTTAAGGTATAAGAACGCATTCATGAAATGAAGTTCTTGTAATAATATTCTCACCTAAATCGAGTCGAAGAGCTATTTTATGATGTTCAGAAGAAAACATTTCAACAACTGAACCCTCATGTCTCTCTCCTCTCTCTTTTAAGCGTCTAACCTGGAGCTGCATCAAGAGAACTATTCCTCACCTTCCTCTTATTAGTAAAGTGTATATTACCCCACTTTCTGGTTCCTCCTTCTTTTATCTGTCATGAAGTTCACACTCTGTCGATTTAGCCTTTTATGGGTTTCTACAGACTCTCGGATGTGACTTAGTCAAGATGATCGTTATCTCACTTCCTCTTCTCAGTCATGTACCTCTCAGTACATACAGAATGATCTGAGCAGTGATGAGAAACTACAACTTAACACATGCACATCAAAGTGCCTGCTGCGTATATAAACTTATTTTAAAAGCTGGTTCATACGGAGCCCCTGAAGTCCCAAAAGTGGAAAAAAATATCTTGTGCACTTGAGTTATCATCTAACTTGTGCACAAGATGCTATGTTGTGCTCACAAGTGAATATCCTGTGTGCAAGGATTAAGACAAGAAACAGTCAGCGCTCACACACACTAGCATGTAGTCAAAGGTTCGTTAGTATCGTGTTCACACAAGATATTAACTGGTGTGCCCAATATCTTTTTTTAACTTTTGGGACTTCAGGATCTCCGTAGATTTACATTTCATGCAGAGGTATTATGCTAGGTCTTTGTGCTACTAGTAAACCTACAACGCCCTCTTTTGAAGGAAAAGCATCTTAAAGCAATAACTCTTGAAAGTTAACAACACAAAGTCTCATACAAACACATCTATCAGTATCTGTTTTCTACTGAGCCCTGCAAGGCTCAGGTGAGACAAAAAATAAAAAGCTGTCGATCATTTCAACAAATCCATGCACACTGATTTACAATCTGTGGGCACAGATTCCTAAATGGTGCCCACAGATTTCAAAACAGTGCGCACGGTTTCTTAAACTGAAAGTGTGCCTGGAGATTGCAAATCCATGCACACGGTTTACAAATCCATGGGCACTGTTAATAAACTGTGCACACAGATTTGTGAACCGTGAAAAAAAGATTTACAAATTGCTTTTTTAGTCCTACCTGAGCCTTGTAGGGCGCCGTAGTTTTCAGTGTAGAATGCTGAAAAAACCTGAGTTGTAACTTTACTTTGGATTCTTATTTCTTCTCTTTGTTGATGGTGGCGTAGAGGATGCTGGGATCAGCAGAGGCTCCTGCAGCAGTAGAAGAAGAAGAAGCTTTGACGGAGGCATAGATCACTGAACCATCGTCAGCATCGTCTTTAGCACAAACCTGGAGATAGATCACAGAGCATTAAATAACACAAAATGACATCATTAAATGCAAAGTGCAAGTTGATACATCGAGAATGAAGTCAAAATATAACACTGAATTTTTTTTTGTTTCTAGTAACGTCTCCACATGTCATGCTGTGCTGAGAAATGTTATGTATAAATGTATGTGTGGATTCATTAATACAGAAAATATGATCATGATGTCTCTGGCTCCGCCCACACTAAGTGACTCAAGCTGTTCCTCGTGTCTCTGGAAACACTGGTCCAGATGTCTCTTTGTGTTCTTAATTACTGACAAACTGTGAACTGTAGTGATTATATCCCTTCGTTGATGTCCTGTGTTTATATTTTTTGTGCTTTTTTATAATGATAAGGACCGATGGGTCTGAAATAAAGTATCAAGTAAAGTATAACGTGGAAATGTGAAGAATAAAGTGTAAACGTGGACACACTGATAGCACAGCCGATACTTGTTGACCTGAGCTTCATGACTTTAATAAAGACGTTTTTAAAGTTCACATCCATCCTGACTTTAACCAATCAGACAGCTCACCCGAGCTCCTCTTTTCCCCTTCTTGTTGTATCTGATGGAGGCGTAGGAAACCCCGCCTTCAGGATCAGCCTACACAGAGAAGACAACAAAACAGCTGCTCAGTAATGTTTATCGTGACATGTGCTTTTGATTGGAGCAAATAAAAAAAAACTGGTTATGATCTTATTTAGGGGTACCATCACCATTACGTACTGAGAATGTTCTGTCAGCAAGATAGGAAGAAAACCAATCTGTGAGCCCACAGTGTGATACGTTCCTGGTGTTCTGAAGTTGCATCACCATCAAACTTCCCTTTTTATCGTTGTCACCCTCTGAAGACTGAAGAGCAATTTATCACACTAATCTAAGGAAATTATGATTTTAAGGTGGGGGGGTTTCTGCTCTTTAAAAAGAACACTTGCGTGCTGCTGATGACTTCCTGAACCTCCCACAAGTGGACAGATATAATAAATAAGATTAGTGTAATGGAAGGAATGACTCTTTCTCTGTGTCTTCACAGAAATGTTTCTTTAAACTTCTGAATATGCAGGATGAATTGTATAAAGCTCATTTGATGGTATCCAAAGAATGACCCTTATGATGTCTTAATTTATCAAGCCTCTGTTTTCATCTTAATTTTCATTTTCACAGTCTCCGTCTGAAGAACTTCTCTCTACTCTTTTTATGAATCCTGTTGTGTTTTTGCACTTCAATCTTAAAAAACCTCAGCTCAGATCAATGAAGAATTCAAAAAAGACTCTGCTATGGTCACATGTAGCGAGCAAACACAGCTGCAAAGAGGGTAAAGGGCAACATAAAAACTTCACAAAAGCTACAGGCAGAACCTGTTGCCCAGTTTTGAACATAAGCCCCTCCTCCTCCAGGCAGACAGCCAATCATAGTTTAGAATTTTTGAACGGCACCAAGCGTAGCGAGTCAAGTTTTAGGGAGGGCCCTGCCACCCCTGGCTGCCCCCCTGGACACACCACTGACTGTTGGTTCAGTTCAGTTTAACTAGAGATGTTTTTAAGTATGACAGACAAAAAGTGTCTCCATGAAGCTTATTGATAGTTTATCATTATGGACTTTTAATTTCAGAGGCTGTAGTTTAATCCATTTATCTGACATCACTGCAGTAGACATACTCTGTTATTCCCGGTTATCTTGAAAAAATAGATGTCTGTAACTTGATTGTGCACAAGAAGCTTGAGCTTATACATGAAATATTACAAAAACAGGCCAGGCAGACCAAACAAGGTACACAAAGAAATGCCTCCTGTAGGAGTTATGAGGGTTAAGAGTTTGATGGGAGAATAGGCAGAACAAAAACATGCTCCAGGACCATTATTGCTTCTTAACAAGCATTTCTTTACATTTTTGTTCAGCAGTCAGTGAGAACAAACAACATAATCAAACGTTTTGGGACTTACAACATCGTCACCCATCTGCGTTCTGTTTCCTGTAGAGACACAGAAACAGCTGGACTTTAGCTTCCAAACAAGAAATATGGATCATCCAAACTTCTAGATATTAAAATGTAGAGGTTAACTGAAGCTAACAAACATTAAACTTCTGTTATTAAAGTTTTTTTTCTTCATGAAAATGTTCATCTGTGCTCTCACCTTTCCATCTGATGACTTTCACAACGACCACTAACAGAACTATAAAAACCACCACGGGCACGAAGATCAACCACCAACGCCAGTCTGCCAGAAAAATGAAAATATGTGAAGCATGATGACCTCAGACTTCTGTCCTTAATCAGAATCAAACACAGAGAGCAGAAGACAACAGGAGACCCTTTTTTAGTTGCTTTTGTACTTTTACCTGTAGTAGCAGCTGTTGTCGTTGGTGGTTTTGTTGTTGGTCTTGTTGTTGGTTCTGGTTTGGTGTCCTCACCTGAAGTTGAGATAAACTCAACTCAACAAACTGTTCAGCACTAAACTTGTGTTTTCATATAAAATTCAAACTTCAAATCCCCAAAAAAAGTTTTAATATTTGAAGTATTTCCAGTCCAAAGTAAGGATGGAGATTTTATAAGAGAAACACAACAAGAGACAAATTAACTTCATCAGAGTCTTTATAATTATTGTAATGTTTCAGTTTATTGTTTGAATTAGAAAAGTTTTGTTTGAAAAGATTATTGAAATACTTACTCTTGGTAACAGAGAGAAGAACTCGAGTCACATCGTCTGTTCTTCTTACTGGTATGAACTGTAGACACTCATAACGTCCAGCATCCTCCTCTCTGATCTTCTTTATAACCAGAGAACAGTCCTCTGTAACTCTCAGTCTGTCTGATTTAACTCTAGAGTTTCTTCTAACCTGCCCATATACAACCAGCTCTACTGCTGCGTTGTTTCCTAAATCTAAGAACCATGTCGTATATTCACACTTCTGTTTTATCTTGTATCACATTTTCACAAGACAGCGTGGCGTCCTCTCCAACTCTGAATGTGACTCTTTTAACTAGAAATGCGGCTGCTGATAAAATGACAAAGAATAAAGTAAATCAATAAAATGTTGATTATATTCACAATCAGTTTGAGAATAATTCTTCATCTGTGGTTTCTCAGAGTTCATTAAATCCATCATGTTTAAAAAAAGGTTAAATATGTGATATAAATGTTCTTACCAGCAAACTGAAGCAGCGCTGTGAGAAGTAAAGAAGTTTGAATCCATTTGAGCTCGTTCATGGTGATTCTCCGTCTCTGTCCTCCCGTTGTCACGCTCCTAACTGTCTGAGTTTCTTCAGTAGTGCTTCTTTAAAGAGACGCTGCATCTACTTCCCTTTCTTAGTATGTCATCACTTCCTCATTTTGACTTCAAGCTGGCCTTATATGTTCATTTCTATGAATGTGTCATAGTTATTAAAACATGATGTAACATGTTTAAGTGATCATAAACTGATGATCATTAAGATGAGCTGCATCGATCAGTAAAGAGGTCAGAGGTCAGAGGTCAGAGGTCAGTACAGGCCGAGTACAGGCCGGTCACGCTCGCCTTTAATATTTGATTTGTTTTCTGATTCACCATCAGATTTAAAGTTTGTTAATTTTAACCATTAAAATCAAAAGATTACAAACAAATCCTTCATTATCTTGATAAGAAATATTTATTTTACATGACAACTCAGACTGTTTGTCCTTTTTAATTTATTATGATGAGAATGTCTGACAGAGTGTCCTCTTGACCTCCTGAATACAACTCTGAATGTCCGTCGTGTTTGAGAGATCAGAGATCAGATGTTATTTTAGTGCTCTGAGATGTGTTGACGCATCATTTTGAGTCTTTTCTTGAGAAGTGAAGGGGAAGTTGTTTGGTGAGAATGTGGGTATCATCATCAGCAGTCAAGTCAAAACAAACATTTCCTCCTCATCTTCAAACTCCTCTGCACGCTGCAGCAACATGGCCGTACTCCTGACAGCAGAAACACCTGAGAGGAGCTCTCTCATAAGCTCTCACTCTGCAGCAAACATTATCTAAATACACTATATCAGCAAAATCTCCTTCAAAGAGTTCAGTATCAGAATATCAGTAAAAACCAAGTGGAACAATGAGGCCAATGTGGAAGTGTGAAATCCTCTGGAGACGTAAGGCGCATAGCTGACATGATTGACGCGTGGGAGCGATGTAACCGTTCATCAAGAGGCTTAAAACTCGCCTCAGCTCCAGCTCTCAGCCTGTTGTTAGGTTGACTGAAAGTTAGGCTGGGACGGCATCCAGCATGGCGGCTGCTGACGATGAGCCTCCAGCGCCCCCTGCAGGAACAGATGCCTGACGTCACTCAGGCTTCATCCATTCATATTTACAGTCTGTGAGTAAAGAATGGAGCCAAGTTTAAGGACACGCCCACCTAGAAGCTCATTGATTCTGCCCACAGCAAGCTTCCACAAAGTGTCACTATTTTGCTGAAGGAGGCCGTAACACAGCTTAAAGAGAGCTTAAATACCTGCAAGTAAGACTTTGACAGTTCAATAGCAACAATACTGTTGCAGGTCAGAGCTGGTGAGGAAAAAGCAGAGGGAGAGACCGAAATCTCACAGCTTAAAGACGTCATATTCTGACCTTTTTGGGGTTCGTATATTTTAATCTATGTATCTACTAAAGTATGTTCACAATAGCTAAAGTTCTTAAAAAGTGTCTGTTTTCATGAACTGCCGCTCCATGCACCGGCTCGCTTCTGACTCTCTCTCTAAGGCTCTGAAGTGCCCACGTTCAGAGTCCCCACGTGTGCCAAGTCTGATCTGATTGGTCGGCCTGTCGGCTCTGCCGTAATTGGTCAGTCGCTCAGCACGGTTCTCGGAAATGTCCCGCCCCTTTTACCATATTGGGAATGCAGCCACTCTGGCTCCGAGGGGAGAAAAAACATTAACACTGCCCACAGCAGGAACTCCTGAGCTGGTGGTGGGGAGGGCTTTGGTGCCTTGCTCAAGGACACCTCAGCAGAGCTCAGGAGGTGATCTGGCACCAGCTACCAGACCAACTTCTATATTTGGTCTTAAACCCTTAAACCAGCGACCCTCCAGTTCCCAACCCAAGTCCCTACAGACTGAGCTACTGCCGTTTATAGGTTAGGAACGTTTTTTTTGCCCTCCAGCCCTCCGCGCTGGTGACGTCACTGAAAGCTATGAATAGAAAGGGGGTGTTGAGAGGTGATTGTAGAGAATGATGCATGTTTAAGTGTGAAATCAGTACAGCTCAAGTTGTCACCTCATTACTACAAATTGAGGCATCTAACACTTAAACTTGAAAAACACAGTCAACAAAAAAAATACATACATAGGTTAGGTGTCTTGCCCAAGGACACGTGGGGCTGCAGGAGCTGGGGATCAAACCCCCAACCTTCTGGTTGAGCTCATCTTATACATAACAACAGATGATCTCAAGATGACACTGTCTTTGAAATTGTTACATTGCATCTTTGCCATATTGCCTGCAGAGGGCGCCACCGTGCCTCTGTGTTTGGTCGAGGATCTGCTGAACTGTTCCTGTGATTTTGTGCACCCTGGTTAGAGCTGGAACCTCCTCTCTGCAGTTCAACCATAGACTGTAAATATTACTGGACGAACCCTGACCCGTCTGTGACATAGGCAGAAAATGAGTCCAATCGACGGCCGCATCCATATTGGATTTGCAGTCTCAACCTAACTTCGGATCAACCTAACGACAGCAGTAAGGCGGGACCGGCGGGACTTAGCTCCGCCCATTCAGCTTGACGTCAGCAGTCCACTTGACAACATAACTAACAGCTAGGCTGCTATCATCAACTATTCCTGCTCATCCTGAGAAAACTCTACAAACAGTAAGTTAACATTTAACTTTTCTACAACACAGTTAAAACTAATTATATTCAACCCAAATGTTTAATTAAAGTCTTAAAACTACACTTTTTTAAATATACAACTATGGTTATTAGTTATTTGTCAGTGTTAGCAGAGAAATACATTAACAAAGTTTTATCCATAGACTGTAAATAAATATGAGACATCCAGAAGAAATCAATATTACAAAGCATACAGTTCATGTTACTGTTCTGACAAAAAGAGGAATGTCTGTGTTTTATATTTACTGATGTCAACAGCGATGAGGTGAACATGACAATTAAAAAATAATTATTTAATATTTATTATAAGACATTTGTTTTCTATTGAACCTGTGAAGTCATGGAGTCTGTGGACAGTGTCAGCTTCACACCAAAAACTAAGTATTAGAAGAAATAGTGTTTAAGACTGGCATCTATTATGATGAGTTGCAGCTACCTTGTTCAATATTATTCCTGCAGATGTGGCTCATAACAAAAAAACAGCCTGAGCTGTCACATGTAGTTAACTGTACATTTTGTCTTGTCTGAGGCATTAATTGAACACCTTTGTATTTCTCCTGTAGACACAGTGTGGATTATTGGTGACTGGTCCGTCGAGGTGCCCAGAGAGCTGCAGAGACAGAGGAAGAAACCTGAGCTTCAACAACATCTGTATTTGTTGGTTCTTCTGAGGTGGACTTCAGTTGCTTCTCTTCAACAGCTCGCTGTGAGGGAGGTCTCCCCCGGATGGCCTGAGTGATGTCACCCACAGGCTGAGAGCTGAGGCGGGTTTTAAACCTCTTGACAAACCGTTACACTGCGCCCGCCTGTCAAGCTGGTCAGCTACACGCCTTATTGTGAATAACTCTTATCCTTCATCAAATCAAAACTGATGAGTCATCAAAACATTCACCCCCCGTACAGTGTGTGTCCATCGAGACATGAGCTAATCACACCTATTTGTTTGTTTTGTACCAAGCTGTAAACATGTTCATCTCTGCTGTAAAAACAGACTTTTTTTAATGTTGTTTTTCAGATTAAATAAATATTTCTATATAAATGCACTCCTTTATGTCTACTTATGAGTATACATTTCAGATTTTAAAATGACAAGACTAAAATGTGCATTAATGCTAAACTCAATAGCTTAGGGAAGGAAGTCTACTTTTACACAACTTCTTATTCTTTCGACATTTTTTTTTACCAAATACTAATGTAGTTCATTTCTGAAAGTGGGATGGAACAGAGTCATTGCAAAAATATGCCCTTAAACACAGCCCCATTTTTAAATCAAGATACATGGAGAGTAAATAAGATCAATAACTTGTGAATAAAAACAGTTAAAAATGATTTAGAAATGTAGTCTTCCCAGATCAATATCACATAATATCAACTTCTCCCATCTAAACTGGACAAAGGGTTTTAAAATGGGAAGAAAATAGTTTGATTGCAAGTTGTTTGGAGGAGATCTATTTTTATTTGAACAGCATGAATACAGACCTGACCTGCTGACCTCCTGACCTGCTGACCTCCTGACCTGACAGACAGATGTCGCGCGAAGAGCTGTC